TATATATACATATATATATATAAGCGTACAATGTTTCGTTATAGATGAAGGAAGCACGCCCTGGCGGTGTGACATCCAATGTTGTAGCAGATCTTCGCGCCGAACTCAACAAATATCGCGAGATTCATACACATTCCAGTCGGAGTAACGATACATTAAAGGACGCTTTGAAGGCGCACGACGAAAAGCTAACACTTTTACAGTACACTCCCGACGTTCTCCAACAAAAACTTCCGTTCGTCATCGAAGCGACAACCGACGATGCAAAGGTCGTTCTAATAATTTTAGATTACTGCTCGATTTAAACACAGTAGCAAAAACAATACTTAGAAATAGTTGCCAGAGATTCCTCGTTAACAAGTGCGAAATTATACTGCTACCTACGGTCATCAGTTTGCATGTGAGTAACATCGTTCATGTATTGTTTATCTATTATTCATAATAAAGGTGATCACTGAGATGATACGGTTGCTTGACAAAATAGACGAGATGAAGTTGCAGAGGAACAAGTTATTCACCGATTTACGGGATGCGATCCGTAACGATGACATTACGAAGTTAATTGTCGCTAACGCTCAAGAAGATCTGAACGAAGTCTTTGAAAAGGCACTATCTAAGCACGAGCAGGCTATTGCTGTACTCGAAAAGAATCTTCGTGCACAAGAGAACATCCTCAAGGCGGTCACTGTGGCGAATGCTAATGCAGCTGAAGTGCGTCTTAACCTCGAACAAGCGCGCCAGCCATGGAACGCAGCCATCGAGGGGTTGCGGGCTTCTGCGAAGGCTTTCGATGAGATTGAAGCTCAAACACTTAAAGGGCTGGACTTCTTTGACAACTTTCACGGAAACGTAAGCAAACTTGTTAGTCGCCTCAAAAGTGTTCTACAAGTGGAACGCGAGCAGGAAGAAAGACTTAAGATGCGTCAGGCAGCGGAAAGCGCAGCAGTTGCAGCCGCAACAGCTACTTCGAACAACGCTCCTGCCACAGGACAGCCAGGTCAACAGGTTGCTGACATTGGTGCATATATAGGCCATGCTGATCTCAGTTCATCATACACGGCGAGCCAAATTGCGACCAGTCAGCTGGGTGTCGCTCCTTACCTTTCGGGTGGTACTCAGGCCGCTCCAAAACTGAAGGATTACCTGGCCATGATGAAAAAGGCAAAGCAACAAGGCACGAATGGCACTGACAGTGGCAATGAGTACATCCCTCAAGCCATGCCGGGATCGCCCGGTATCTCTCTTGCAGCTTCGAGTGGAATTACTTCCATAAGTACAATAGGTCCGGCCACTACGTTATCTTCGTTAACCAATGCCTATGGCTCTCCCCAAATAAGTGTTCTCCATGGGATTCAACAGCCGCACCCATATCCTCAGGGATGCAGCACTGCCGCTACTCAGAATTTGACGAATTCCGCCACGTCTCACGTACCTTTGGCTACGTGTACGCATGTAGTTTCTACACCGGCGACTAATGTATCAGCAACAATGCGACCAACATCTACTCTTCTTGGGTATCAAGACTCTGGTGTGTACCATGTACCACTTCCGGCTGGACACCTTGAACAGGCTGCACGACCTCCCACTACACTGATGGTTTCATCACAGCCTCAGCCTACTACGTCGAGGGCAGTGGGTCAAACTATCCAGCAACCGTCGACCTTCACCACTCAACAGCAGAGTCAGTTTTATAATGCGTATAACACAAGCAACTTAGGCTATCAGATGCACGGAGGAACAGCGAACTATGCCGTCTCTTATGGGTCATATGCCCATCTCTATGCTACCCCACAGATAGCCAGTACGGCAGCAGAAAATACTGCGACGTCGAGCGCTACTTCGGGAGTGCCCACAGCAACATGCACAGCACCGTCGGCCATCAGCAGCACCATGAATTCAGCGAATTATTACGGGAATGCGCAAGGCACGACAGGCACGACTTCAGTGAACACCTCCATTACCTCCACGAATTACAGCTGCACTGCAAGATACCAATATCCGCAGCAGTATGCTTACGCTGGCTCGTATTCAGGATACCCAACACTGGCGTCGACCGCTATAGTATCCTCACAGCCAACAGCCATCGCGTCTGTCAACTGTAACTCAAGTGTGTTGGCACAATCTTCTGTTCCTACGATCGCTAGCCAAGCGTCGGTCATACCACCAATGCTTTCAAGAGCAGTCTCCATCACTGGCGCCTCTGCGAGAGCTACTGCAGTGGGTGGATTAGCTGGCGCCTATAACGGATCCTATGCGACGTGCACAGGCGGTACAGTGCCGACCCCCTACCCTCCTCAACAGATCAGCTATGCATCAACGTATGGGCAACTCTGTGAGACAAATGTAGCTGCAGCTGCCTCGTCGCTTGGCGCGACATGCGGAACGACGACAACTGTAACAACAAACGAAGCAATTACGGCGGCAACAAATACGGCGCCTGCAGCCTCCGTTGCTAGCGGCGCGAATGGCGCGATAGCGGTGACCGATGCTGCTACCGTCCACCAGACGTATCAGACAACGTATCAGTGGAGCGGATACGGAAATCTTTCACAGGTAACGTTCACTGCATCGCCTAACAAATATACTTCGAGTGGAACCGGATCAGTTTCGTACTCAAATGCATCAGCGACTACATCGACCGCATACAGCAGGCAGCAATATCCCCAGTACTACCAGCAGTACGTGCAGCAGTATCAACAGTACAATAACCGTCAAGAGACAACATCAACAGCTTCTTCGGTTATTCATCAGCAGGCTGGGCAGTCCGTGGCTTCAACCGCCACCAACGGCTTTGCGACGCCAGCAGCTAATATGTATGGAGCAAATTCTCAGCAGGCAAACAAAAATCAACCTTCAATCGACGCCTATTACCAGCAACTAGCCTTAGGTTCCGTTCAACCGGCTAGTTACGGTACGCAGTTACAGTCGTCGCAGACAGTAACTACACAATATACCCCACACACAGTTTCATCTGTGGGTCCAGCCACAGCTCGATCTGTGGCTAATAATCTGTTAGACGAAAGTCCCCAGCTTTCGGTCACTCCAGATGGAGGCGTACTTGCCAGTGTTCTACAACCGACAATCGTCTCGAAGAGCAGCCTGAATAACAATGAAAGCAAAATGGAATCGGACGTCTCCAGTAACGCTGATGATGATGTTAGCAGGAAATCGAACGGAGTGGTTGGCATCGCAAGAGCTACCGAGGTGAGATCAATAACAAAATCGGATTGTGACAACTTAAACAGTACGGGAGTCCCCCCGTCAACTGAGGTTCCAGCAGATGACGCGAATAGCGCTAGAAGTTTAGAACCAGCTGCTACAGTTACTACGTGTCGAAACCAACCGGATACAAGTACCTCCTCTGGGCCAGTGTCCGCCGACCCCCTGAACAATTCACAGGTTGTTCAAGACCTAAAGAACACGTACGAAAAACTCGACAATATGACGTACGTTGGAAAATGTATTTTTACTAATGCTTATTTTGTGTATGTTTTTGATAAATACTGCAAAGGTGCACATGCATTACATCAATCGCATTCTGTGTTCTCAACATATACATTTAACAGTAAGTAATCACCATAATTAATTACACCTTACAGAGCGTTAAAGCTGAACTCCCGGTGGAAAGAGTACCGAGACAACCAAGAAGCGGAAGCACGCACACTGAAAATATCAGTCGGTCGAATCTGTTCAATGAAGAACCGATTCCCCGATATCATGCCTTGTAAGGAGCAATCGCTATTGTGCGGACTTGAGAACTAAACATTCAGTTTTCATTATTCATCTTTATTTAAATATTTTTGTAAATACGTCAAATCCTTTACGTATTAACTGCAATTATGTAGAACACTGGACATTTCTCAACAGCGATCTCACTTCCGATCGATTCCGATAATCGCTTTACAGATGACTACAATCGGGTAGTTTTGACCTCGTCAAAAGACGATTATATTAACGCATCGTTTGTAACCTCATCTATTGAAAGTGAGCCAAATTACATTATAACGCAGGCTCCTCTTGCCACCACACTCGAAGACTTCTGGACGATGGTGTGGGAGCAACGTGCAGAAACCATTCTCTCATTGTCATCATTCCAAGAGGTTAGACGTTTACTATACTATACTATACATTTTAGAATAAAATTTAAAAAAAAATGTGTGAATAAAGCAAGTTAGTAAATTCTAGAAAAAAAACTGCCGACAAGGAGACACTAATTAGATAGATTGTGTAATATGCACTGTTTATATATGAGTCGAACTGATCGTGAGCCGCCATACTCCATGTGAGCTCTTAACATGTTGCAATCATATATTTAGGGTCTACGAGAAAGCAGTCTTTAACATTAATGCGTGCACATATTCCAGCTTTCGTCGCAACTGTTCTTCCCGTCAAAAAAGGGCACTTCACAGAACTACGGACCATTCAATGTGACGGTACTTTCCTTTAGCGAAAGGGAGGCTGGCCTGTTCACCGAACGGTTGCTGGCCATCAATGGACCTCAGGTAAAACTCTAGCCGGTCTCTCTCTCTAGCTCTAAAAAAAAACAGAGGGGCAATAGAAAATTCTGCATAATACAAGCCCTAGTTATAATTTATGCCAGTTCATTTGGATAGATCCTTAGCTTTGTTAATTTTTATGGGTTGAAAAAAGCATGAAATGGTGCTAGACTAAAGAGGCGTTGTCAGAATATCTTAATCTGGTTAAACTTAAAAATCTACAGGGCCTAACGAGAAATGTCATTCTCGTGCACGTAACCCAATGGACACGTGAAGCCTTATTCCAGATCGGGCTTGCTGAACATGTGCTCGACTTGCACGTCAAACAAAGAAGAAGTCATAATCCACCCATAGTCATACAGTGCCTGTAAGTACTGCACTGATATGCACAATGGCTTACAAAATCAAATTCATGGAATATTTGACCACAAGGTATTTTGCGGAGTTCCATTTCAATCTAGAAAAGCATCTATATGCTGCGTTCCCTTTGAAACATCAATGTTTATCGAGTATTTGCTTTCAGTGGTGGATGTGGTCGTTCTGGCATTCTGGCATTTGCCTTGAGATGGATCAGCCATCTGCGCGTCGGTCGCGTCCCTTCGGACGCTATGCCAATTCTTCGACAACTAACACGTGCTCGAAAACTGCTCCTACTTGAACAAGATCAGTTGCGTACGTGTTTAGAGATTGCATTATTGTCCATCAAAACAGCGTTACAGACACGCGGCCTTATGCATGCGGTGCCTGCTGCAATTACGACTCTTGATCAAATGGACGAAAAACAAAGAAAAGGCCAAGCATTGTCGGCAGAAGAGCGGATTCTTCAGGATCTTATGCAGGGCTTCCAGGCAAGACTTGAGTCCTTTCGTGCTATTTTTTTAATACTCACCAGAACAGCAGTGTTTCACGATACAAGTTCAGCAACTTGATCGTTTATAAAAAAAATATTCCGTTTTGTTGGCTTTTCTGCAGCGGCTTTTTTATTGGTAATTTTCTGTAAACAAATATATAAGCACAAAAAAAGTAGATATTTACACTTCCTACTAGCTTATTTCTGTAATTCTGTATGCACGTGAAAAAATACACGAAAATTAGTAATCATCAAAAAATTGTTTGCAATAGATAACACGCATATTCATTTAGGACGTTATATGTTCTGATCAATGGTTAAGTATTACGTTGTTCCTCGCATTTGCATCTATCGTATTATCGACGCATCTTTCCGTGTAGACTATTGTTAAATAACAAACTACATGTAGTTTGACTTTAAGTCGACAGCAACGAACGCATTCAACTAATGCTATCTGAAAGGCCAGTCTATGTAAAAAAAGACCCATCAAAAAATTCTGTTATTCAAATCCAAAAGTAAAATTAAAAAATTCTGTGAATGCAAGGGTTAAGCATGATGCTGGCCCTTTTTGCGTAAAATGCGAGAACATATATAGTTGTGCTGTTTGTAACAGTTATTTTGACTTCGTCTATTTTTTTATTTGCAGGCTAAAACCAAAATTACGAAGGAAAGTTTCGAAAAACCGCGTGGTTTCGACGCTGCGTCCGGCGGTGGAGATCCTGCCGACCCTCTCAGTCAGCTCGACCCGTTATGGTCGCTAAAAAAATAGATGCGGCAGCCGCAAGGTATTCGAAACGCTGCTCTGCAAGAAACAAATAATGACTTGAGCATGCAAGCGTTGTTATTTCGCATCCGAAGAGAGAATGGAGTATAGAAGGGATCTGTAGTGTACATTTCTTCTATCTATCGTGTTACTTATATGTTATTTGTTCACACATTTCTCTGTAAAGTGACATTCGCTTAATTGTGTTTTCGGGTTTTCTACTGCTGGCATTCTTCAGGATTCTTCTGCGATTTTCAGCAATCACAAACATTAATCTTACTTTTCATAATTAGAGCTAATAATAAGATAGAACCACTGCTTATCAAGGTTGGGCCGCCGTTGAAGCGCGCCTGGAAAAGTAAGAGATTTAGCGTTTCTGGCACATACGAAGTGATTGAGTCAGCCTAAACAAGATTTTTAGTTGTTTTAGATGCCAAAGGGTACGCATCGTGGTAAATTAGTGGCGGAAAGTATGGCATACACGGGATTCATATACGAATCTTCAGAATAAACATGGATTTACATAAGGCCTTTACAGACCCCTTCAGTGGTTACATACTACACCAGCAAACATAAAACGTTTTATATATAAACCTACCTGAAACTCAAATGTAAAGAGCAAATAAATAGATGGTCCCCGCTGCGAAAAGCAACAAAAATACTGGATAATCTGTATTTCGGTAGTTATCGATATGATAGTTCATGGGAAGAATGATGGTTATTCATGAACGTGATGGCAAGCTGAATTGTGATAACGGTTATTCTAGATGAAACCTGGGCCACAGCTGGACGTGCGTCGAATTGAACTATAAAATTTTTATTTTACATACGAGGTAACGCATGGAAAAGAGAAAGGGGTCTTCAACAATTACGCTTAACTGTGGCAAGGAACAAAGCTAAAAAGTCTCCATGGACGCTTAGCGTTCTTTTATGTGATGTTTATATATAGCCGTCAATAATAAACTGTCACCGTACGTACATGTAAATACATTTCATTATATTTGTTCTAACCTTGTTTACGACAAACTATGTAACTGAAGAAAAACAAAGAAATACATAGAGCTAAAAGATAGAAAAAAACTTGAGCAATACCTATTATTAATTGTAGTGTTACTAGGGAGACCTTTTGATTAAAAAAAAAAAACGTCATACAGCTGCACTGCGGTTGAGAAAAAAAAGGCTGCACTGCGGTTGAGAAAAAAAATATTTAAAAAAACGTCGTAAGACTGCACTGAGGTTACGGAAAAGAATATTAAAAGTATGGACTCATGACAAATTAAAGAAATGATCTATCATAACACTCTCCGTAACTATAAATCTTATTATTCATAGTCAGTAGAGGAGCAATAACACGAACTGATACATGGACGAGAAAAGTTCTACTGTATATATAAAAATTTCACATTGCTCCGTACGGCGTTCATTTTACATAGAATGCTCTAGGTATTCCCTTTGTAGTACCTCGTTTAATAACTTTCGTTCATATATTACTAACTACTTGATTCCGAAACTTGAAAATATATTTTTGCTGGGCCTCATAGACTGTTAGACAATGCAACATTTCGGCATTTAACTAATCTGTACTGCAACAAATAATAACTAAGTTCTTAAAACACTTAGATAAGTTTTCGCCGTTTTGCCTTTTCTGTCATTATCGCCTCCATTGCTTTGGTCTTCTTGTAGCCAAGATCCGTAGGATCGATGTTAAACCGATGATCTGAATAAATTGCTGCAAACCGAGAATCATCTAAGTTTATCTTGAAGTTGTCATCATCTTCGGTTGCAACTTTGCCTTTTTTCTTGCTTTTCCCGTTAGTTGTTTGCTCAGTTTTTAGAATCTTTTTAAGTGAGAAGTGTTTTCTGCCATCATCTTCCTCATCCATAAGCAGTAGCTCAAGCTGCTGACGGCGTTTCGCTTCGATCTGCTCGTTAACCTCGTTAGTTTCAACTTTACTAGAATTCTGATCACCCTTATGTCTCTTATTGGTGCCGCCATTTCTACCAATCTCAAAGAATGGATCATCTTCAACGCCTTCAGGCAAATCGTCATCGGAGAAAGCTCTCTCCTGTTTCTTTCTTTCGCGCTCCAACTGTCGCTTCTCGCGTTTCTTTTCTTTTTTACGTTGAAGGTATTCTTGGAACGGTGTCGGCTTCGACACCTTTTCACTATCGTTTTTTTCTTTTCGTCGTCGGTCAACGGTTGCGTTTAGCTCAGGATTGAACGTGATCTCTTTGTTACCACCCTCCTCATCATCGGTGTCCGAATCCGACTGTTGATCGTCCTTATTACCGTCGCCTAACTGCAATAATTTTCTATATTGATCTGTGTCAATTTTCTCAGCGTCCGAAGCATCTTCGTTATCCGAAGAAGCTATATAGGTTTTTAAGTACTCGGCCATTTTGTCAATATCGTTAGGCTTCAGACCAGCTGCACGTTGTCGCTTGTTCTTTGAGTCGCTAGAATATGCTTTTGATAAAGCCTTACGTCTCCGGAGATCATCGCCATCCCAACTGCTCTCACACGTTGAAAGCATCAACGCCGAATTGATGAAGTCAACAGGTTCATAGTCCTGCGGTGAAGAATCACAAAAATCAGTTCTTTCTTTTTCGTCAAACACAATTTCATCTGGAATAAAGCGCAGATCCAGCTTGGCCCCGGATGACTGATACTCCATTCCATCACAGCTTTCGTATATGTTGTTGGCAGTATCTGAGTTGTCACACTCCACAACAGCATAATAGTATCTGTATTCAAACAAGAGAGAGAGAGCAAGCGGAAGAAAGCAAAAACATATTAATATGACTCTCGCTATGGATAATTCACGTAGGATACTTTATATTATGCAAAAGTAGATAACTGATTTATACGAGCAAAGATAAAAGATCAGAGTGATGGCCGTTATAGGAGAAAATTTGACTGAAAAAAATTTTGCAAAAACGATTTATTAATGTGAATTCAGTACTTAATGATACCTACTCCCTGCGACGCAACACAGCACCGGTCAACTAACAACTGGAAACTCACCTTAACCGTTCAAATTCATATTTTCTTAAAGCCTGTTCATTTCTAGCCTTTAGTCTTGGACCTCGTTTAGCTTCTTCAAGCATTCTCTCTTTGCCAAACTCTGACGGATAAATTGTAACAGCCTTAACAATACCGCCATTTAATGCAAATGATTCCATCAAAACGAACAGATCAGCCGCTTTGATATTATGCCAGTCCATATTACAGACAGCTAAACGTCTTGATATATCGTCGCTCCTTGGTGCATCTTTATCTAATTCATCCCATTCGATTTCCTGTTCTTTTTCAGCTCGATGAATCGCCGCTCCATCATCCGACGAATCTGAGCTATCGTCTTCCGACGTTTCGATGTTTCCTTCACCCCGAGCGAAATCCAGAAGTTCTCCTTCTGAGTCCTCGGAATCGGAGCTTGGTTTTGACGTTTTTTTTTTTTTGACAATTAGTTTCGTTTTAAATTTTGTGCTTTTCTTGCAAACTTTCTCATCTCGTCGTACCTGATCTGTCTGCCGCAATTTTACAGGTGCACTATCTGACGATAGGCATGTCGCGTTTTCGTTACCGTCACTAGCGTCATCCGTATCCCCGTTGTCACTCTCATCTAAATGATAGTAACGCCTGAGATCTTCAGCACTGGTCGTGCTTACAGGTCGACCTCTTTTGTCCATGGTAGCTTTGATTTTAAAGCGTTTATCGGTAAACATTCTCCCAAATCTCTGATCAATTTTGACCTTAGCTTCTTTTTTTGGTATCAGCCGGAACTTCGGATCGGAAATCACATCCTTGAAACGATCATCTTGGCGAAGTTCTTCCGGCAATGAAGACTGTTTCTGTCTCATTTTTTTCTTCATTATGGTCGTTTCGTGTTTGTTGGGGTTACCCACCATTAATTGCGGAACAATTGCAGAGGACGATGGCGCTGCTTTTTTTGTACTGTCTACCGGTCCAGGTCAATATCGTAGTCCTATCGTAAGTGTGCTGTTTGTTGCACAAATCTTTACTAATAGTGTGCGAAACCACAAAAACAGAATAGTGTATATTAATAATAGATTGTCACAACGAATCGAATAATGCTCACGTTCGAAATTCGTTCGTAGAGAAACAGTCATGTCGCTCGCACGTGGACCTGTAAATAAACAAAGAGCAGACAACTCTGCCTTTACCCCTTGAAGGCGGCAAGAGTCAAAAGTGACTGTCAACACGTCACACCCGCAAGATGTATCTGTTTCGATCAACAAATATTTTAATTTAAAGTTTAAACCGTACAATATACTAGGAGGAACATATTGCGAATGTGCCAAAAATCATAAGCTCACAATGTTTAGAAAGAAAAACACGAATATATCGGCAATGTCAATGAATAGGGACAACTTTATTGCAAAAAAACAAATAATTATATTGTATTTACATAAACTTATGAAGTTAAGTGAACTTAAATGCTTACTTAATCGCAGCAATAGCAGAGTTCTGTAGGTAAAGGGTATATGTGTTTTCTCATTCTGGCCTGGTAATAGCTTAACTGTGGTTATTATGAGCATTATGATTGAATTAATTATACGTTATATATCACAGTAGCTTTATGTATTTACTATGCATGCTTTTAATATCTTCTTTCATTTACGCACATATATAATAATGCTTTCATAGCTCATTCTTAAGCTTGATAGTACAGCTGCTGCTTCTCATCACAGGTTATTTTTTATATTATTAAGGTGATTCTAGTATGCGATAAAGCCACGACCTAATTGGTATATAACTTACACACAAGCTTCGACCAGTTTTCGTTCTTCATTTAACTAATCTGATTCATTAGCATCGCGTCAAGTCTAACATTAGCTCGGGTATATACAGCGCTGTGATTCCATAAACCTAGCTGCATAGAACCTAGGATAACCTATAGCTTAGTCGCACCTACACCTTCACAGTTATTCGGTTGCAGTTCTCTTCATGCTATGTCGTACTACTTCCGTAATGTTCTCACTTCAGCTTTACGGCTATAGCAGTTCTGTTTCTTTGACTTAGCTAGCCTTTTACATTGTCTCTGTTATCCCTCATTTTGAGGCTAGTATCCTGCTACCACATTCCGGTGACTCCCGTTGCCTTGCTAAAATTATTCCGTTTACAAATTAGAACCTCTCAGTAATAATGAGGTTGCTGTTATAAACTGAAAAAAAAATTATTTCTTTTCTATTTTTTGCAAAGATTTGCAGGCTACGACGGTCCAAACTCGCTATTGTTACAATTCTACGCGATTACGGCACCTTTTTTTCCATTGCATTTACATTGTTTCTCAATTTGCATGGACATCGTTCGCAAGTCACAAACTATTCCCACAAAAATCAAAGCGATTACTCGACGCAACACAGACATCCAGAGAGGCATATATATATATATATATATATGACTTGTTGAATTTATTCAGCTTCAACAAGCCTGTAGATAATGATAACGTATGTACGGTTGGAGTTTGTTTTTTAGGCATAGTAATTTTGTATATGTCGACTGTCAAAAACCTGTTCAGGGTAAAATGAACCATTCACAAAAATTCTAGCATTCATCGGGCAACGCGTTCACCAAAAATCCGAGGTGAGCAAACTTTGACAGGCTCAAAAATGCCGGGGATCCTTCAAATTTATGAATCCTTTCGCAATAATCATTCCTGCTCATCCAGCCTGTACACGGTATAATTCAAACGCTCAAGCTCCGTCCACCCACACAGAAAGTTTATGATGAGAAAAGGTCCTTGCGAAAATAGCAGAAACACAACGAAACACATTTGTAACTTTTTGGTACTTAATTGTATATCAAAGCGCGCCTTTATTAAATTTGGAGATCTGCAACTGCTACTATTATTGCTATTATTAACGTAGTACAATATCAGAAATAATATGAGAATAACACCTAACTAGAATAATTTCGATGGCGGACCTCTTTTCAGCTATATTTACAACAAAATCCAATAAATGTATTATTATTGTCGTTGCCGAGTTTTCAGCTTGCCCACTTGATACTGACGAATAAAGTCTAAAAGTAAGTAAAAGAATATGGAAAATATTGTATTTAGAGTGAAATCTGTACTATACTATTGCTCTAGGAGCTTGCATTAAGCCTTGATGCCAGCAGTGGCTACTTGCGCAACAAATTGGCGCGAAATTTAAATACACTTACGACTGTTTATAGAGTTTTAAGTCATTGATATGGTAATTTCGGAGGGCATATCAAAATACAATATTATTAAAATGTCTTCGTAAACTGTTTGTTACCATGTAACATAAGACAACAATGTGTATTTGTTCTAAGAACGTCAGATATATTTAGCGACGAATATATTCTTTACTGAAGTGGAAAAAGTACTATTTGTAAACGGCATTTGAATGAAATTCAGATACCTTGATGACTACATGACTTCATAGATTATGTAATAATGAACCGAAGCCATGGTACAAGCCATGGTTTATTCATCCAATTTGCTATAGTGAAGAAGGACCTTTACATTGTAAATAAAAAGGTCTAATTATATCGATTTATTGAGCTTGTGAGTCCAGAAGTTTGCACGGCTTGACACAAGGTAATTGGATATTAGCGTAAACGAGATGCTTTCTTTTCAAACTGGATCATTCATCCCTTTTCTTTACTTCTGACCGTGATTGTCAGCTAAATTTTTTGGCAGAATTTGGTGTCCTTTAAGATGCGCAGTTGATTAGCTCCCACGGACAAACATGTTTCAATAACAAATTCTGTTTATTCTATAGGGTGGTAACGCTCCAAGGTTGTCTTTCTACATTGAATATAACGATTTAAGTGAACCACGTACGACAACTGCGATCCCCTACCGTTTCATTTTGTAGTAACTCCTCTTTAGTGCTATACTTAGGAAGGATTAGATGATTTCGATCAGCGTGTAAAACGCCTCAGAGAACAGATGATAAAACACCGACGGCAAACTGTGTAGTTTCAGCGAAAGAATTACGTCACTTGCGTGCTGTAGCGGCCGGATATTGTCTTGAAGAAATTTTAACTTCTTTTTACATTTTTCCGCTTCCGCTACTGAAACGATCTGCCGAAAGCGGCGGCGAAGTTCGAGTCCTCCGGAAACGAACGTCATGATCGCAGCCCGGAAACACTGCTATATTATTATAGTGAGACAGGCTGTTAGAAAGAAAGTTATGAAATCGAAGTCCCAGAGATCCTGTCCCTCATCTTCTCCGGCTGCGGTTAGAAGCGCGAAACCCTGAGTCATCGCCCTGCTGAATACTAAACCTTAAATAGTTGTTTTTCGTTTGGTGTTAACTTGCTACTACAAGGACATGCATCATTATGGAGAGACGCGCAAAAGCATCTACCCAATGCACCGGTATGATCGTATTGGTAGTATTGATATTACAACTAACCACCGTATAATTATGGTTTATTTAAGAAGGCTATAAGGATGATGGCTCCTTGAGGAATTTCGGTGTCCGTATGATAATACGTGGCTGCTTAATCAATTAAGAGGGCAGCTGTTGAAGCTCATGGATAAATCAAATAAACTTCGTTGAATTATGTCAAGTTGGCTTTAAGTATGGGGCTTCATTTTGTACGAGCAACAATCTTTGATTACGTAAATAGGAAGATAGAACTGCTGAAAGCGTATTTTTTTTCACAAAGCTCTACGAGGCCAAATATTATAAAGAAGCAAAGGTTATGTACTAATTAAAACATAAAAAGACAGCTTAATAACGTTACATCATTACGTTTGTACTAGCGAATTGTTTTGGAAGACCGACCACATTACGCATGCCCATCTGCGAAATTGCGAAATATTTTTCCAAGCTAGGTTATAAAAGGGAGTTTTCTCTACTTCTCTTTGCTTTCGTGTCGACTGTTTGTCGGAGTGCATTTTAAAATAGATTGGAACTTAGGTAAATTGTAAACGAATTGCTGATGGCTAGTAATACATATGGGCTTTGCTCAATATTTCATATTGTTCTAGTTTACCAAGTTATTTATGAGCTAAGTAAGCCTTGTACGATATCGTTGTTTGAAAAACTTCGATCATTACACTGAAACTAATACTATCGTATATTAATAGAACTTTCTCTAGAAACCTATATCTATATAAAGATATGCTTAATTCAATGTAATTTATTTCTTAAACTTGCAACGAGCTTCAAATTTATAATTAACACAATTGTCGATTTAAAAACTTTGAACTTGCTTATAGGCTCCTCTATATTGCGTATGATTACGTGGGTATATTTCTAACGCGCCCCACACATTTCCCGATATATGAATAGATAAAAAACAATATCGGCTATATTATTGATTAGCTTGCCCGGGCGGTCCCGACTTAATAAAGATACTTAATGCCATTAAAACTACGCACTATTTTTAGATGAAATCCTGTAAATATTTACATCAGGCACTATTTATAGCTATAAGCTCATGAGGTGGCATCATAGAATGAAGAGTTGGTAGGCAAAGATACCATTTGGTAGACATTGGAATAAGCATACATTAGTGGCGCAAATCGTTCTTGTTTTGTCGAAAGACGACAAAAAAAAACATGACTAAACCTCAGAACCTCTAACAGAGGAACGAGGTGCTGTGACCATGGAAGCTTTTGTCGGATCAAAGAAAGCATGAGCAATATGCTCCCGTTCAGCTTTATTCGCGATTGCTCGATATACGTGTTATAAAACCACAACATAAAAAAAGGATAGCGAAACGTACACTTCATAGACTGGGTCATTGAGTATATAATGCGACGAACACAACAATAAAACAAGCACATTTACATGACAATTACGCACAGCTTCCATCATGCTCTGGGTCGAGGGAAGCAGAATTTGTCAATAGTTCTAGCCCTCATCTTTTCCAGAAGTGATTTGGTCCGGTTCCGTCCTTTGAATAAGACAAAAGCTAGCACAGCGTATCCTGCCGTATTTTCTCAAATAATCCATTGCTAGCAATGTCATTTATGTTATTACATATTACAGGTACACAGAGATGCAGAATATCTCAGAATAGAGTTCGTCAAGAATCAATGGGATTATGTCTAACAAATACCACATTACAGCGCAATACACAAAATGCTTTCAGTTAGTAAAATACTTTCAGTACAAAGCCCGTTTGACAGCATACCACTAAGATCAATAGGGAAAAAAATGAATATTGCCAACAAAAGGAGTCGAAGTTCAAAAAACTATGGATGTATCAGCGAGATAAGAACTACTTAATATTCAGCCCTTCATTTCGTCCGCACTTTTTGAGAGTGGCCCTAGATTGATTTTCTGACAGAGCTCAACAAAGTGTGTATATGAATGACATAAATACATAATCAGCCACAAACCCAGCCTA